AGTTATAAAAACTACTTATATTTTCTTATTATTTAGTTATTATAAACTGCAGCTTAAGAGAGTGTGTAAAGATTATAATAACTTAGTTATTATTATCTTTTTATTATTATTAAGCTTTGTTAAGATTACACTTATTATTATTTCTTAATAAATTAGAAAAATTTCTAGTAAATCTAATTGCTTACGTAATAAAGATTTTAGTAGCTAGTTTTAATCTACTATACTAGAAGATTCTAAAACACTTCTATCTATCTTAGCTTAGTTAATATTAGAGTTATTATATAATTTTATAACTCTTATCTTCTTATCTCTCTTTTTATAATTACTAAAAGATCTAGTAATAAACTAATTATTAGTCTATACAATACAATATATAGACTAATATAATTAGTACTAGTCTAGATTATAAATCTAGAAGATAAGAAGAATTTAGCAGACTTAAATTATAAATCTAAAAATTAATAGAAATTAAGTAGATTTAATTATAAATTCTTATCTTTAGACAGAAATAGGTAGATATTTACGTAATTATTCTAGTAGCTATTTTCTATAAAAGAAATAGCAATTCTTTATAGTTATTCTTTACCTAGTAATAATATTATTATCTTTTACCTACTATCTACTCTACAATTAATTATTATAATCTTTATTAGTTATACTATTTATTATAGTATTTAACTACTTTGTTCTAACAAAGCTATATTCTATTATTAGAGAATAGTTCTTGTTACCTATCTATTCTTTACAAAATATAGTTTAAAAGTTATAGCTATTATATTAATATTTCTAGAAAATTTAATTAGTAAGTTCTAGTAGTAGTTTTCTATTACTCTATAGTGTATTATTACTTAATACCTCTATCTATTCTAAGTTATACTATTAACTAAAAAGTTATTTAAAATAGTATAAATTTAGTCTATAAGCTAGTAATAATTTTATACTTATAGTAATATATTTATTATTATTATTTATTAGTAAACTAATAATTCTATTATATAAGCTAGTTTAAAAGAAGTAAAGTCTATTACTTATATATAGAAATATATATTTTTAAAAAAGTTAGAATTCTATATTTAGAAGTATAGGTAATAGATAGACTAAGAGTTAGGTTTTTAGCGCTACTATCTCTAGCGTAATTATAGTTTTTAAAATTTAGAGTAGTAAAATAACTATTTTATAAATACTAATATCTATTTAGATTCTAGTAGAGAGAATTATAATAAAATATTATTTTCTTAATACCTTATAACTAACTAAGCTATAGATTATAAAGTAATAAAATACTAAAATCTTAGCTTATAGAATTCTTATTTCTATTCTTCTTTATATTTTATAGCTTATAGTAAATTAGAAATTAAAAAACTTATTAAAGATATAAATAGTAGCTTAAATCTAATACTAGTTCTAAAATAAGCTCTTAATTATAATTTTACTCTATTATACGTTTTTCTAGTATTACTAGATTTAGAGCTAATTTTATTTCTAGTTATATTTTCTTACTTAATCTTAATTAAGCTTTATTATTATTATAATATTAATTACTCTTTCTTTTAATATATTACTACCTCTATAAGTTTTTTTAAGATTATTATTCTAGAAGCTATTATAAAAACTACTATAAACTACTCTATTTTAGCTATACTAAAAGCTATAATAAGTACTTTATAGCGCTATATTACTATTACTTTAGAGCTATATACTAGGCTTATTAATATTTTTATTATCTTTATTTTTATTATTTTTATTATTTCTTTTACTTTTATTATATATATAACTAGTATAAGAGTTTAGAGTTTTCTTTCTTATAGCCTTACTTTTTAGAAGCTTACTAGTAAGATATATAAGCTCTTTAGTTTTTATAATATTAGTTTCTTACTTATAATAAGAAAATAGTAATACTAGTTTATTATAAGACTTACTTATACTAAGCTTAAAATTACTTATACTATTTTTATTTATAACTATAAAAGTATAGTAAAGCTAAAGATAATACTACTACTAATTTTAGCTATTAAAAAAACTTTATATTAGTAATATAATATTTTAGTAAAAATACTTTATAAAAGTTCTAAAATATAAAATAATAGAAATAAAGTATTTATAGCTTATCTTTTATAAAAAGATACTATTTACTAACTAGTAGCTATAATATACTACTTTAAGTTTTATTAATATCTAAAGAAATAATAAATATATTATAGTTATTAATAATAAAATACTATAAAGCTTATAACTACTAGTATTTATATTACTACTATATTATATAGTTTTTAATTACTACTTAAGCTTAGAAGCTATATAAATAAGTATAGTATTAGTTAGAAGTTTTTATAGTAATAGTAATATACTTAAAGTTTATTAAAATCTACTAATAGTTCTAAAATAAATATCTAAGTATTTTTTAATATGTTTTAGTTAAATAAACTCTATAAGTTTAGGTATAAGGTACTACTTAGTGCCTTAAGCCTAATTTAGTATTATCTTTATAGTAAAATAACGTTAATAGATATTAAAAAATATTAAAAGACTTTAAGCTAGTCTCTTTTAGAACTACTAAATAATTTTAAATATTAATTTAGTATATATTACTATAGTAATATAGTTATTTTAGACTTATTCTATACTTACCTATATAACTTTCTTTATACTATAACTATAAATAACTAGAAATAATATAATATATAGTAATAGATATAACGCTAATAGAACTAGCTATATTTCTTCTTTATTAACTATAACTATAACTTTATCTTTATCTCTAGCTAATAATATTAATATAATAACTACTTAGAGCTTATTTCTTAGAAGATATTTCTACTATAAAAGACGTCTATTATAGCTAATATCTACTTAACTATCTTAGCACTTAAGAGACTATTTATAAATACTTTTTCTTTTTTATTTTATTCTCTTTTAGTCTTATTAAGTATTAGATTTAAAGTCTTATACTATAGGTTTATAGCTTTATTTAAAAGATTAGATAGAGCTAAATCTAAATCTATAGCTTACTTTACTCTATATATAAAGAAGTAAGTATAAATATTAAAAATAACTAATAATAATAATAATAATAATAATAGCTTAGTAGCTAGAATAGTAGTAAGAGAATAAGTACTAGTCTAGTTTAGGTAAATAAAGTCTTTAGTTTTACTAAAAAACTTATATATATTAATAACTAGTTTCTTAAAATTAAAGCTAGTAGAAAGAATAATAGAAAGTCTTACTTTAAGTGTATATATTTATAATATAGTATTAATAAAAGCTATAATAGAGGCTATAATAGAAGCTATAATAAAAGCTTTAATAGTATTAGTAGAGTAGACCTTAAATATTAAATAGATAAATTTCTATATAATAGCTACTAAAATACCTTTTAGAATAGCTATCTAGATAGACTCTAAGCTACTTATAGAAGCTTTAGTAAGTAATAGTAATATAGTTATATAAAAAGTAATTAATATAGTAATAATAAAGTAACTTAGTAAAGCTTCTTAGTAAGTAAAATAAAGTAAAGTAAAGTAACTAGTAAGAAATTAGTTTTATTCTTATAAGTGCTAAGAAAACTTATAAATTATTTAACTAGCGTAGCGTTTAGTATTAGAATTAAGCTACTTATATCTTTAATATATTTTTAGATTTCTATAAGTAACTTATAGAATAAAAAAAGCTTACTTTTACTAAAAAAGATTTTAGTATATATATTCTAACTATAAAGCTTTAAAATATATTACTTTATTAGTAATAAGTATATATAAGTAGATTATAATTCTTTTATAAAGTTCTTTTATAAAGTATTTAGTATTATAATTCTTTTATAAAGTATTTAGTATTAAAATAGCTACTTTATAAGCTTAAAAAATTTAAAAGCTTTAACTATTTTAAAAGTAGTAGTACTAAAGCTCTAAGCTTTAGCTTACTTAATACTATACTTTTAAAAGTAAGTAAAAAATTTAGTTATAAATTTTTTAGAGTACTAGTAATAGTTCTTACTTTTTTAAAATTAGTAGCTCTTTAAGCTATAAGTATTATTACTTAAGATTTAGATTTCTACTTAATAATAATAAGCTACTACTAAATTATTATTAATATTATCTTTATTATTTAAATAGAAACTAGCTTAAAGTCTTTTAATATCTTTTATTATCTTTTACTTTATAAAGATAACTTTAAATTAGACTTAAGGTACTAATCTAAGTTATATAAAGATAAAACTCTCTTATTTAGTAGTCTTCTATATAAGTTTCTTATATAATCTAGAGATCTTGTTTAGGTAGTTTACGTAGTACACTACTTAATCTCTAGCTACTTGTGCTTTGAAATCTGCCTAGATTATGTAGCAGAACGGGTACGAGCCGTTAATTGCAACACTACCGCTCGAGTTGTTGCTATCCCGCAGGTGCCTTTCCTCCCACTCGCGTAGCTCCGTCTCTTCATCAAGCGGTTTGCTCGGCGTAGGCGACACTGCAGGAATTTCCTGGACTTGTTCCAGCCATGCCACAACTGAATCTAACATAGTAAAGTCCATAACGGAAACCACGCTATCACGGCGACACAACGCCTCATCGTCTGCATCGTTGCCGTCGTCTCCCCCAGAAGCACCAGTCTCTTCTTCTCCATCCTCGCCCTCAGCGTCGTCGTCTTCTTCGGCCGAAGCGATTGGTGACACGAGCTCATCCTCAACTTCAACCTCAACAACATCCCAAACCCTATCATCATCCCTCGTCCACGCCTCAGTCCCATTCAACGGACTAAATGGCGTTTCACCATATTCTTTCATGCAATCGATCGTAGCCAGCTTAATCGAAAGCTTCACGCCAGGTTCGCTACGTACGGGTGGAACACTTGGTATCTCGCCGCTGGGCCATAGCTTTGGTAATGCTGCGGCGAAGGTCTGCCAGGCACGTTGTTTCCCATTCGCAGCCCACTTGTGTCGATAGTGGGCGAGGGTTCCGGATAGGCCGTCGCGGTAGATTTGGTGCTCGACGAGTGCGATGGTCTCGGTGATGCTTGTTGGATTCGAGAATGGTGGAGAGGGTGGAAGGTCAACGGATGTTTTGCGGACGCGCACCAACTGCGTTCTAGTAAGCCGACCATTCCTCGAATCTTCCCCTCCGGTCTCGTTCTCTTCCATGCGCATAGCACCCTTGTCTGTCCACGCGTGAGGATTCCACCCTGGATTCACCACCGTAGGATCATCCCACCCCCCCTCCCTCGCCCAGAAGTAATAATGCGGTACATCGCACCCGGGAAACCTAACAAAGAACAAGTTGCCCAAGCTTTTCTTGCCCACACCATCTCGAACCGCCTCACCGTACCCCAAATAAGCAGGCACATAGCACATAGCCAACGGCCGATACTGCGACGCCTCATACACCTCCGCCGTCATCCTCGCCTTATTCCTCTGCCGTTGCGCGTGGCGTGCAGCGCGATCACTAGGATCGCCATTGCCTTTCCCTTTGACGCGCAGCAACTTTCTGTTTTCAAGATACCACTTATTGTATGTGTCGGCTAGCACTTTCGTTTCGTTTCGAGAGCCGAGGTGGAAGTACATGTGTCCATTACAGCCCTGAATGAGCGTGCGTTGAGCCCAATCCGTACCTCTTTCGATAACGGCTTTGCGGAGTGGACCGAGGAGATGGCCATTACGCGCTGCGGATCGAACCAAGGGGTTGAGGATGGGTACGAAATCGGGAGCGACGCCTGGTGGGTACTTCGCTCCTGGCAATATGAGCTTTTGCTTGCTATACATTGTTGTAATCTTCAGAGGTGCATAAGGAACGGGACAGGGCAAGGGCAGCGGACACCATCTTTTGTAATCCCAACCTCCAGGTTTATGTGATGGCATGGTTTGGTTGGGCCATTCGAAAAGGCGAAGTCTGCATCCAGGCTCGTAGATCTGGTTTACTGATGCAGCACTTGACTCTGAAGAACTGCTATCCCAGGATTCCTCACTGAGCGCCTCACCGAATCTCTCGCGATTGTACTCATCTCCCTCGTCTTCGTCGTCTTCCAAGTCGGCATCACTCACAGTGTCATCACTGACGCTTTCGTCGCGCTCTCTCCTCTCCTCTTTCTCTCTTCTTTTCTTTTGCTTAGCAATGAGCTGTGCCTTCTTCTCTGCAGCCTTTCTCTCCTCTTCCTTCTTTGCCTCCTCCAGCTTCCTTTGCCGTGCAATACGGGCGTCTTGTTCAGCACGCTTTTTATTCTCGTCGTCGTGCTTCAAGGCCCAAGCCATCTCTACCTTCTTCATATCCTTGCGGTAGATACTGCGCTCCTTTGCTGTTTCGACTAGCTCTTTGTAGTTCAAGTTGTCGTAGACGGAGTCGGTCTTGTTCTCATCGCGTACTTTGTGCGTACCACCACGTCTGTGTGATGAGCCTTGGTGAGTCTCATACGGCTCTGCAGAGCCGTGGTACGGTCGCGGGTTACGCCTCTTGGCACTGCCTTTTGGCATCGTGGTGGCGGTTGGGTAGTGTTCAGTGAAATGTTTGTAAATGGGTAAATGCTAGTATTCCAGAAAGCGAGCATTGGCTACTAGAAGCGCATACAGTGTGAGATGAATGCGGAAGTGATGCTCGAGACATTGCTACAAAAACAACTTCAAGAGATCACGTGTATGGGCCACACAAGTGTCTTTAACGAGTCACTGGTCAAAGACATGCGAGAGGTCTGCTTTGTGAACGTGACTTGGCTTTGTCTCTGTAAGCATCACCAAGCGTGGTGTCGAGTCGTTCAAAACATGTCACAATGCGCTGCACAGCTCGATTATACATTCGAAACAATTCATTGGTAGGGTTTAGGGTATCTCACTACGGTACGTTAACTTACAAGCATTCAAGTTGATGGGAAGATGCTTACAGTTCCGACTTCTCGCCATCCTGCTTCCGCTTCTCTGCCTTGAAGTCGAAAAAGCCCTCTAGCTCCATCCACTCTGCAGTGAAGGCCATGACCAGCTTCGTCCAGTCCTCGACTGTATCCATATCCAAGTGCTCTCCGTCGTCTTCAATCGTGTGCCATACATGCGGGAAGGGCGTCGGGATCATGTGCAGAATCTCGACGCCGCGGGCCATGAACGGAACGTGATCGTCCTGCACGAAGCCGCCCATGAACTGATCATTTCCTTTGTTCGCGTCGGGCAGAAACGGACGTTCGTCGCGAGGCTTCTTGTTCTCGCGCTTTGCCATCTTCGACTCGTGGTTTGGGGACGACTTCATTAAGCCTAGCTTCCGCAGGCGAGCCTCAGCAGTCGCCATGTGCTTATATGCCCAATGTGTCGTCTTGAAGTATGAGGGGACTTTTGGACCCTTGGAGCCCAGAAGGTCAAGTAGCAGGAATAGGTCGATCGAATCGAGCGGGGTGCGGTATATCGACGATGCGACATGGAACGTCGACTCCCAGTCTTCAGCGAGGGCTCTGATATGCGTCAGTAGGTGATCGCCAAGAAAGATAAGGTAAACCATACCGCGCGCCGTAGAGACTGTCGCTGTCGGTCCAGCTCTTGAACGCCTCCTCGCCGTCCAGCAGGAGTATCTGCACGCCCTTGTGCTCCACGTCGAAGTCGTCGGGGTCGGCCGCCGCCCATTTCTTCGTCAGCGCCGCATCAATGCTGCGCGCTATATGCAGGATCATGGCGCATGGGGCCGCGCTGTCTGTCGCCCCAATGAAGCCAGTCGGCGTGTACTTGCTGTCATAGTGGGCCACGAGAGCCAATCTCGAGACGTCGCCCTCGGAGCTACCCGGCGGATCGCGTGTCGCAATGATGTTCACGAAAGGGACCTCCTTGCCCTTGCTCACGGGCGTCGTCGACGTCGAGTTGTGCATTTCCAGCCTCCATTCCGGTAATTGCGACTTGAAGAAGTCTAGGAAATGTTGGCGTACGGCGACATTGCCTTCGGTTCCAGAGACTCTGGGTACCAGGATTGGCGCCAGCAAAGAGCCTTTCTTTATGTCGAAGTCATCGCCCGGTCCCGGCAGGTGCTTGAGTGTGTGGTCGCTGAGGCCCTGGTAGGCGTATCCGAGGGACAAGAAGGAAACGAGCGACAGCAGCGCAAATGCGAACAACATGCTCTCGACTGATCACATGAAGCGCACGCAACGACGTTAAAACACTGCAACAGATAGCTTACAACCGAGAAAGGAGCATGACGGCGCCGGTCGTTGAGTGGGCCGCTTGTCGCTGGTCGAGGGAACCGTGGCATCTCTCCGCACACGAGCTTGACCCGCTTCGGCTAGAGTTGCCGCGGCAAGCCGCTCATCCCACGTGACACCGTGACATCTCAACAAGCACCATCGCAGCCCGTCCACGCCCTTACACGTCCGTCCAGCTTCATTGCTGAGTAAGCCTCCTGCTAAGTCCGACATCCAGCGGCCAAACCTCGCGGTCGCGCAGCGAAGGAATCCAGCGCATCGAGGCCTAACGAAGCCCACACACGTGTGCAATTTTCTTCACGGCCGTTGACTGCGCAGGTGCAGACAGCATGCAGCCACGGCTTCTCGCCTTTGTGGCCGCTTTTCGAAGCACTGCACCCACACTTAGAGGCACACGACCAGTCGCTCAATCTCGCCTCAATGGGCACATATGCCGGAGTTGCCAACGAAAATTCACCACAATACGCAGAGATCCCACATTACCATTACAAAGGGGAAAGAAGCCCAAGTCGGCACCCGAACCAGTCGGAAAAGAGAACGAGAAGAGTAGGTAATGGCTCGAACGTAGTCGGACGACGAACAAGAAGCAGTCATCGTTAACGAAGATGTCCAGTGTATGCGTCAAGACTACTGATCTACGATGCGGGCGACGCACGAACGACGTGGATATCCTTTTGGAAAGCAATGGCCTTGTTGCAATTCGGCACAACTCTCGTCTTCGGTGTACCTCCATTGTGGAACAACGAGAATCAACCTGATGAGAGAGTACGGAAGATGCAGGCCATAACCGGTAAGTGAACTTTGTTAATGCCTGGTGAACTTTCACGACCCGAATCTCTTCATTTACACCACTTTCCTTGCCAAATGCACCGAACCATTTCCCCTCTCTCGTCACATCGATGCGCTCTAAATCTGGCCTCATCATACGTGGGCATATTTCTTTCACGCCCCTTATCTGTCCGACCCGTCTTGGGCACGTCCGAATCAGCACTCATCACGTGGTGGCGGCATCATGTTCCCTTACATACCCCTTCAACCACAACCTTGCCTCAGAACCAAAGCAAACAAACGCCACACGTTTTCTGTATTCATCCAGTTGGTGTTGCAAGAAATCTAACAACCCCCAGTCGGCATCCTCGGCACCATCCCCACCCTAACCCTCGCCTACCTAACCGCCCCCTTCGTCCACCAAGTCTTCCTCCAAATTCCCACCACCGCCAACTACGCGCGCCGCTCCCGGCCCGAACTCCTCCGTTTCGCCAGGTCCCTCCGCCAAAACACCGCCGCCACCGCAAACACAAAGCTCGAATTCGTTACTCTGCGAATCTTCCCCTTCCGCAAACACACCACCGCTTTCCTGCACGAGCTCCGCGCTTTGCCGCCAAAGAAACTGCGTTTAGCCAACATCGAGTTACCGAAGAGCGAAGCGTGGGTTAAGAGGCAGAGGGAAAAGGGTATTTTCAAGCGCATGCTGGAAGTTATGAGTGAACCGCGGTTCAAATTCTACGTTAAAGAAGGGCGGTTGTACACGATGAAGACGGGTGTGCCGGGCGTGTGGGAAGAGGTGGCGATGAGGATCCAGGAGCAGACTGTTGAGGAAGCGGAGAGGGAGAGATTAGAGCGGGAGAATGGAAAGCGGGGTGTTGGGTCGAGGAAGGAGGCACCGAAGAGACCGGTTGTCACGACTGTTGCGAGGCGTGGTGGGGGTGAGGCCAAGGTCGCGAGGCAAACTATGAGGAGGAGAGATTTCATGTCAGAGTGAATATTCGCTTTGAGGCTTGCGATCCAATATATCAAGATAGAACGATTTGCTAAGCGAAAGAGTATATACAAGTCGTCCGTTCCCGATAGCCCCTTACCCAGACTAGTTTACTCAAGTCAACAGGTCTACTGAAGCAGGAATTATGCCTGCTCGAGAACCTCTGGCTTCTCCTTCTCCATGCTGCCTTTGTGGAAGTCGGCGACGCCATCGTCATGCACGAGGCCAGAGCGCGCGAGAAGGTCGGTAAGTCCGACTTCGCGGTGAACCTCGGCCCAGCGCTCTTTCTCGCGCTCTGCGGTACCGGCGGAGCCAAAGAGGGAGTCCATTTCTTCCTGAAATAGTCGTTAACAAACAGCACGCATGCAGATGGTCGAGTGAGAAAACTTACGAGAGAAACACCCTTAGTCTCCGGGAAGAAGAAGAAAATAAACGCAGCGCCCATAGCGGTGAATATACCGAAGAAGATGTAGGTGCCATAACGAAGATGCGTAAGCATATCCGGGGTGACTTGACCGACAATGAAGTTGTTCATCCAGTTAGACGAAGCACCGAGCGCGATACCGTATGGTCGGTTAGACATGGGCCAGATCTCCGCAATGACGATCCAAGCACATGGACCCCATGAGTAGCCGAAGAAGATGACGAAGAGCCACACGAAGACACAGGCAGCCCAGCCAGCACCCTGGTGGCTGGCCCAGCTGTCCTCGTAGCTGGCAGAGATACCGGCGATGATGAAGTGGCAGGCTGCCATGCCGATGGCACCGCTGACGAGTACGGGCTTACGACCCAGTTTGTCGACGTACATGACCGCAGGGACTGTAAATTCGTTAGTGCGAGGAAGTCATGTGGTATCTCATGGTGAGAACTTACTTGTTGCGAGGAACATGACAATACCAACAACGCCTGTGGCGAGAAGGTTGATCGAGTTGCCCGATAGACCAAGGTCTTGGAAGATGCTCGGAGCATAGTACAGAATAGCGTTGATACCCGTCTAAGCGTTGGTTTACCAGTCAGTACACATCTGTTATGCGATTCGCACGTAGTCACTTACCCATTGTTGGAAGAACATGGTGAGCGTGGAGATCAGGACTCGCTTAAACATGCCCCTAGTGGTGAAGAGACTGCCAATAGCGACGAATTGCAGCTTGAAGACCGACAACGCGCTCATGTCCTGGAGATGGGGGAAGCGCTCAGCCAAAGACTTCTTCTCGAAGAGACTTTGCGCGCGGATCTCGGCGTACTCAAGCTCGATGAGTTCGTGCTCCTGGGGGAGGCTACGAAGATTGGCGAGCACACGGCGCGCCTCTGCCTCACGGCCGTGATGGACGAGCCAACGGGGAGAGAAAGGCATGAAGATCATACCAGCACCGAGAAGCACAGCGGGGGCCAGTTGCAGAGCGAGAGGGAGAAGCCAAGCAGCCTCCTTCTGTCCGTCTCTGCCGGTGCCACCGATGTAGTTGGTGCCGTAGTCGATCCAGAAACTGATCATGATACCCAGGGTAATGCTTAGTTGCTGAAGACCCACAAGCGCACCTCGGACTTCGGGAGGTGCGATCTCGGCGTTGTACATGGGGACAATCATGGACAAGGCTCCGACACCCATACCGGTAACGAAACGGCCACCGAGAATAGCATTGTGGCCTTGACCGGCGGAAGCAGTGCATTGAACGACGACACCGACCATGAAGACTGCGACGCTGACGAGAATGGCGTATTTACGGGAGAGGATCTCAGCGATGAATCCAGAGTACATTGTTCCGAACCATGCACCGAGTTCGAGGATTGATACGAGCCAGCCCTGCTTGGACGAGTTCCATTCAAGTGTTTCTTGATTCTCGATGTAGTCGCCCATGTCTGAGCATCTGTAAGTGACTTGCCTGCGGTTGTAGTGGTGAAACGTTACTTACGTTCCTTGAAGGAGGGCATGGTCAGAACACCAGAGAAGACACCCTGGTTGTAACCATACAACAGTCCACCCAGGCAGGCAAAGCATGCGATACCAAACACTCTCGCGTTTTTGACCAGGGCCATGGGTCCCGATGCACCTGCGAGCGCTTGACGGCGAGCCAGAGCGGCCACCTCAAAGTCGCCGGCACCACCACCGACTGGAGCCATGATAACGATTCGAGTGCGTTCGTACGTGAAAGATCGAAGTAAAGATCGTCAAAGAATGGGCAAGGCACAAAAGTGCAGGGTTAGTCAGTAAGCTCTTCGCGAAGCCCTTGACAGTTGAATCCCAAGATCAGGGAAGACATGGGGAATGGAGTCCTACATATGCATTTCCATTTCGCTCGGGCGGCCACCCAAGTCAGCATACCATTGTCTCGGGTAACGGGCCTACACGCTGAGTGGTTGATGCTGCGAAGCTTTCCCATGGCGGATAAAGAGACGGTTAAGCTCCATGGCACCAACGCTTATTTCGGGCTGCGGCAGCGATTCAAGCATTGGTGGCTGTCCTGGCATTGGCGCTTCATTGCTTGTAACGTCCCGCGAGGAAGCAGGCTAGAAGCCACTGACGGCTGGGCGCACTATTGACAAGAGTCGCGGAGGGTGGAGGCGACGCGGGGAGAACGCGTTTGGGCGCACAGATGCTGAGCAATCACGGCTGAATCGACCGTTTTGTGAGATTGTTACGTGTTGGAGCTGGCACGAGACCGACCGCCTTTTTAACCTGATGCCTCTGTCTTGCGATGGCCTGCTCAAGATGAATGCCATTCAGATCCGAACTTCTGGTAGAGTAACAGGCTTTGTCGTCCAGCTTGCATATCCAGAGGCATACCGAGCAGCCACCGCGCGTCGTATAAATTAACAGCGCGTATCTGCCGGTCCGCGGACGCCCATGCCGCCAGCCCCCGCCTCTCTACGAGTTGGTAGCCCATGAGTGTGGAGACTCCACAGCGGGATGTTAGCGCGTCGTTTGCATTTTGCCTAAATGCTCTACCCTCGGCGTTCACATGGTGCGAAGGATCACGGCGCTGCGGCGCTGCGGTAAGATCGGAGCCTTTGTTGCCAGGTCAGTCACGGGACGCAATCGAAGAGTCGGTTCCGACCTTTATTTCCGTGACGATTGGATGAGCGACATTTGGCCGTCAGGTAGAGCGGATGTGTAGAGCTGACGACGCGGAGATGGCCACATAGATTGTGGGTTGAAGCGTTCGGGCCCACTGGCTGAGGATGCAGCCAATCACAATGAGGTCAGCAGCGACGTCATGAACTTGCCGACCTCCGATGCCATCGCCATCGTCGAGAGTGCACAGCTCCCCGTTCACATGCTCCAACGCCACCTCATCGCTAAGTTACTTCCAGGATTTTGACGACATTCTGGAACTGAGACACGCAGCACCAAGGACAACAATGTTGTGCGATGCTGCAGATTGATTGCGGCGGTGCGCTAGCCCGAATGCACGTCTGTGGCTCAGCAGTCTGCCTTCCCGCGCCTTCCTGCTTTCTCATACTCATCATCCTTTCCATCGCACTGGTTGGGGCTTTCTTGTACGTTTAAGATCCTTCGCCCCATCATTCGTCGACTACAGTCTAGGTCTTGTTGTGTGGCATATACAGTCACGAGCTCTATCCCCATCTCTGGCATACTCGCCTTAGCTGGTCTTGGGGCTTCAGCTTTGTTGTTTACCAGATTCCGGAGTTCGGCACGTGTAAATTGAAGAGCAGCCTTGTTGAAGGTGAGTGGGGCAGCTTTAGCGATCTTGAACAAGTGTCTTTCGAGGCTCTGCTTACCCGTTTTGTGAAGAGCTTGGCCGTCTCTGTATCGGGTTACATCGCCCCCAACGACGCCGCAGGTCTGAAGGCGCGCCAATCTTGGAGCAATACAACCAGGCTCTAGCCAGCACTCACAGTTGAGGCCATCTCCTGTTTTCAAGGTCCTTCGCCCCATCTTCTGGCGACTGTAGGCAGGGTCTCATCTGGTTGCATGGTTACGTCGCTGATATCGCATCCGAAGGATTCTCCTATACATGTGCAGAGTCACGGCGCTTAAGCAACTCACTGGTAACACAGAGACACTGTCGAGTGGTGACAAATACACCGAATGGCCCCCTCGCCGCACGATCGCATCAATTGAATCATCGGTTCGTCAAGAAGGAGGCGGCAGAGCTCTTGTAACACTCTCGGAAATGAAGACAGTCGACATATTCGACCCATTCTGACACAATCGTTCAATCCACATTGGCGCATATTGCTCATTTTCTCGCCTTCGAAGACGCGGCAAAACCTTCTGTGTGAGACCTTCGACCAAAACCGCGACGGTGTCGGTCCTCCGTCTCCATATCTAGTTGCATCGCCCCCAGAAACGCTACAGTCCTGACGTAGCGCCCTCATTGAACCCTTACGATCGGCCTACCATTGTTAATTAACGGCGGCGGCGAGGGTCTCGGGTTGAGACCTGTACAGCTTCTGACGTGGAAACCCTCAGTGGCCCCGATCGAAGTGCTTTCATCTTGGTGAAGGGGTGCAGTAGACCGGTAAGCATACGTCCAGTTCTCAGATATAAGAGCCATGTTTGGCAATGTATCTCTCGCATCCTCAGAAACATCATACTTTACAATCCACACTACAATCATCAGCACCCATAGATCACACTCACGACCTGAAGACGGAGATGAAGCTACTTCAAGCACTATCTCTCGTACTGATTCTTCGCAGGGTTCACGCATCCTTACCCTACGGCCTTCCTGATCTTGGTCAGTGGGGCCTGATGAATTGCTGGATGACTGATGACTAATGAATGTGCAGACGAAGACCATTTGGTACCCAGGGATCTTCAACCACCTGCTTCTAATCCTTCCAGCACCGGTATCGTTCCCTCTGGAGCACCTGTATCTTCGCTAGGAACCGTCTTTTCGACTTTTCTTGGCACATCGACGACGTCTTCCACCAGAGTTCACCCGTCTTCAGGCACAGCGCCGGTACTTGTGAGCTCTCTCGTCATCCCATCGACAGCAACCTCTTCCAACTCTTCGAGCGCTTCTAGTCGCCCTAGCTTGAACAGTTCTAGCGTCGTATACGCCAGCACGATCAACCTGACTGCAACGAGCCAGCTTCCCACTGTCGCACCAACCACAGGTGGGATAGCTCCCAATTCCTCCTCTACAACTCTTTCAATTGGTCCTCAGCCATCATCGTTTCCCTCGTCCGCTGCTCGATCATCCGCTTCTCAAAGCTCACAAGGTCTCCAAAGCTCGCAATCCTCGAATTCGCTCTCCACCTCTTCAACACTAGCGCCCTCACCGTCGAACTTTGCGCTACCTTCGTCACTTACATCTGCCACGCCCACCCCGAGTCTTGTAACGACCACTATCACGGCTTCCAACGGTGCACCAAGCACAGTTGTCATCACTGCCAGTCAGCAACCTCAGACCAGCAACGTTGGAACCATGTCTTCGAACCAGCCATCGCAAGCTTCTACTGCCCCTGCATCTCTTCCATCTGGTACTAGTCTCGAAGCTATCATTGGTGGCATTGGCTACAATCTTCCCTCCTCGGATGAAGACTCAATCGAAGTAATGCTGCTTGATGGCTCAATTGCACAGCTCTTTGCCGGCAAGATCATCATCGGAGATCAGACTGTGACCTTACCCTCGGACTTGAGCAGCGAGACCACGCTGCCTGGGGGTATCAGCGCCAAGCCTGCCGAAGCTACAACACCTGATGACAACGATGACAATGACGGCGGTGGTGGTGGGGTCGGTGGCCTTTTCGGTGCCCTTGGAGGCATTGCAAAGGGTGCGACATCCGCGCTCGGCGGAGCTATCGGCGGTGTGGATGCCGTCACATCAGGTGCCCTGGCATTTGCTGGAGGGACAGCTGGTGCTATCTCCGGTCCACTTACAGGAGCCATTGGTGACACCGGCAAGTTTGTTTCCTCCTTGAACGGTATACAGAAGTCGTTCCCCGGAAACGAGCTCACGAAAGGTGCTTTCGACACCTTCACCCGTGCCCATCAACTCGCTCGTCAGTCTTTGAACTGGATGAAGTCGACGCAGAACTTAGCTCAGAACTTTGACGACTTATCATCCGACGTCCAATCCAAAGTCATGTCAGGCGCGGGCGAGTTTGTAAAAGCTGGTGGTACTTTAGCTCAGTGCAAAACTGCCATGGAGGCCTTTCAGGACTTTCCTTGGGAAGACGCCGAAGTACCGAGTCAGACAGCGCAGCCTAGTGCGACAGACAAGCCTACCGAAACTGCCTCGACGCAGAGTACCAAAGGGACTTCCACCACGCAGACCACCTCTCTGCAGTCGACTACAGACATGACCTCCACAACACAGAGCGCGAGCTCTACTGTTACCTCGAGCCAGACGTCGTCATCTGGTAGTGAGACGCCGACACCCACAGCCGATCTCAAACGAGAGTACGTGATTTCTTCCGAAGATGGCACGCCTTGGACAAGTTTCAAAACCCTCATTGACACCCTTGACGGAGGTGAGGGATTCTTGGCCAGATTCGACAGTATTGGCAGTTACATGTACGTCACCATGCTCAACAGTACGCAAGCAGCAGAGATAGCCGATTCGCATGACTGGATTGAATGGGTCGGTCTCAACGAGGGCGGAGTGCCGGAAGAAGAGCTAGAGGACTTCGCAGAGGAAAGCCGAGCTTTCAGTGTAGTGCAGACCAAGCACGTGTTGCTATCAGAAGCGTCAAAGTCGCTTAACGCTCCGTATCCGGCGAATGCCTATTCTATGTCTGCACTTGCACATGCCCCACGAGCCATGGGCAGTCCGATATCCAACGCACCTTGGTGGAAGAAGATGCTCTCTGCACCCCCTCCTGGTCCCGACGAGGTACCTCTGAGGCCTGAGAACTATCCTGACTACTTGGCCGACGATACGGGTGGGGCAGGGACCACTATATACGTCCTCGACGATGGCTTCGACCTTGCGACGCCCGTATGTATACCGTTGCCTATCAACATTCTAATCTGACCAATTTAGGATCTTTTGCCAAACTCAAGGAAGGTTGATCATCACATTGTACCGAACATGTTCACTATCCCACGCGAAATCAGGGACAGTGGACGTGGCGTAGATGAAACAATTGGGGGCGGCACACACGGAAACATGTAAGACGATCCGCAGGTACACACTCTATCAGGGAAGAGGACGCTAAAGCTCTTATCAGGATGGCAAGCCTTGCAGCTGGCATCGACACCGGCGTATCGCCCAAGGCGGATCTATTCTTAGTCAAAGTCAAAGGCCAATATAAGCACTCTGTCGGAGAGTCGAGAAGCACTACTCAACACAGTGAAGCATCTGTCCGGTATTGGAGTAGGTATGTTAGGGATCACATCAGCACAAGGAAGGCGGCGAGACAGGCTGGGGAGCCTGAGGTGAGATCGGTCATCAACATGTCATGGGGTATGAATCTCAATTTCCCAGCCAAATATGCTTTGTATCATTAAGTTAACAATCTGCAGGCATCAAATTCAGCCGCTTCGCACCTGACAGTCGTGCCAATGTGCAAAGGATATTGCAAAGGTTCCTTGACTTTTGCAAAGAACAGCAGACTCCCGTCGTCGTGGCTGCGGGTAACTTTCCAGCCACATTGGACGTGAAGGAAAATTGGCCACACGCACTATCCAAACCCGATGACAGTATGATCATTGTTGGAGGTGTGAATGAAGATGGGCTGGTGATTCCGGAGATGATCGCCGACAGTACCGGGCTTGTGCACGTCTACGCCCCTGGGAACAACATCCGAGCCCCGACTGACGCCGTCAATTGGGAGCCGGGGGCAGGAACAAGCCAGTCTGCTGCGATAACTGTACGTACCGCCTATTGCTATTTATTTTGGGGGTTTCCCATTAACAACACGTCAGTCTGGCCTTATCGCGTATTACAATGGTTTACCGAACTTGCAAACCTTCGAAGCAGCGCCACCAGGTGGTGTGTGGGGCGCGAAGGGCCTGATTACGTCACATGCCTGGCCGAGGTCCTCTCCCGATTCCAAAGTCAAGGTCATTTACAATCTCGCTAGAGGTGACCCTGCTCACGGCGAGCTTTCGTGTGTACAACGTCGCGATAAGTATGGAAGACGCCAAGATGACGGACTTTGCTCCCTCTCATCTACGTTCGCCACATCTACGAGGTGAGATTGCCTGCGGTTAATCATGAGATCTTGACTGACACCCTCAGCTTCTCCGGTACGATATCGGCTTCTTCCGCGAGTGTCAGCAAAGCCTCCACTGCTGCCGACTCTTCCAGAGACGTCGAACCTTCCGCAACCAGCGACACATTCTCGACTAGCAACTCCTCCTCTACCAGGATAGGGCACGGTTCCATTGCTAGCTCCACCCAGCTGTCCACCACATCGCTCGAGTCTGACGGTTCGTCCGCTACACAATCTCTCCAATCTTCAGCAACGCCATCACCCACGCTAGCTCCGACCGCCACGGCCGTTGACAACTGTGCTATGTGTCGAGTTGAGCTTGGTAAATGTTTCGAAAAGTGTGACCCGTTCGATAACGATTGTGTCGACATATGCAACTGTCTCACAAAGTTTTCGGACGAGCATTGTAAGCTTTGCAACGAAATTACGACTTGTCCTCCAAGGCCAACATCCACGGCGGCATCTACGCCTACGCCTACGCCTCTTACCCCTGAAGAGATCAAAGCAGCTTGTGATAGCTGCCAGGGCGCTGTGAATGTGTGTATCAACAGCTGCGGACCCTCTCGCTTTTTTTGCACGAAGGAATGCAAGTGCACGGAGAAGAAAAACAATCCCAAATGTATCAGTGGCGGGGGTTGCGACGTTGAATGCGACGACTAGTTGGGGTTGGGCTGGTGGAATGTGAGCATGCTCTGTCACAGCCTATGGCCGCAGGCGGCTCGGCTTGTGTTGTGTTCTGCGACAGTTCGTGGCGTGGGGCTGGTATGCGCCTCATTGATGGAGGCTTGTGTTCTTGCGTCGTCTCTTTCATTACATTTGGTTCCGTTTCTTATCTGACATTCGCTTCGTCTTGTGTTTCTGCGTCATGCACTTCCATTCGCCGCCCATCTCGTTTCGTTCTCACAAGACTGTCTTTACCAACAATAAACTAGTATCAGGGCTCTCTTGAAGCGCATAATAGTCATGTGTGTTGGTCGTCGCTCTCGCTTCACTTTGATAGTTGCTTCCCCACGAAACTGTTGATCATATACTGTGTTCATAGCAGGCACTCTTTCAATTCCATCCTACAATACCCTCTGCTAAAGTCAAAGGTCGCTGTGCTGACCCTGTCATGACCGAGATCCTTCTTCCGATAATTCCTTTATCACCAACGCCGAGGTGCAGTTTCTCTGGTAGTTGCATAAAACCTCTTTGTGGTGACTCTATTTCGAAAGAGTACAAAGCATCCAACACACCTTGTTGCGTTGACGAGCAGAGATCGCCGTCACAACTAATAGCATCGTCAGCATTGCGCTAGCCCTTTGGAAGAACGCAACCGTGCCGGACTAAACTCACTGTATGACCAGCCGGTGGCTATCCTGTTGCAAAACGTCGTCGAGCCCTTGGCATTCAACGTTGGTCCCGCATTTTGAGAGTGGGTTGGTGAAGAATAAAACCATCTCTTGTTCTTGGTGTGTGCGTGCTAGGTGGGATGTTGGTCGCAGTACTGCTATCGAGCCTCCTTGGCTGACGCGCGTTGAGCTGCCGTTGCACATTGCTAGACTCTGGTGAAGGAGACCTAACGGATACAGAGAAATAAACTCGGCCTTTCAACAGTAGAAAAATGACGATATAAGAGCGTGGTTGGGTGAATGAACAGTGTGTAAGTGTACGAGTGTAGGAAGTCAAGCCTGAGATCGATGGGCGCCGAGGGGTAGGAAATTGCGAGCGAATGATTATCGATGGTAGCAGAGATGCAAAGGATTTGTAGTCTACGCACTGTTTCAGCGGCATGTGTTGCAATGTTTGAGATTTGAGAGTGAATGCGTGTCTTTGAGCAAGTTTCGGAAGAGTACCCGATTGGTCAAGCTTGGGCGCTAAGATCCACCATGGTGCTCTTCAGTGAAGGTATGTATGTATGTCAAGTTGCGATCGCAAAACCATCATATCATTCACATCGTTCCGTGCTGTCCCTACATGAGGTCTCTGCCCGCTTACATGGACGCCTTGAGCACGCTGAAAGCATCAGCGCGCGATCCTCGGTAACGCTCCTCCGCCGTCTTCCAGTTGATAACATTCCAGATGTTTTTGACATATGCAGCTTTGCCGTTCTGGTACTGGAGGTAGTATGCGTGCTCCCACTGTATGTCAAATTAGTCGCCCGTGGTCTCAAGGGTCGAAGAGCCAGCAACTCACCATATCAACACCGAAGATCGGAACTTCGCCCTTGCCAACGACAGGGTCTTGATCCTTAGTCGTCACAATAGACAGCCGCTGCTCTTTGCCCATATCGGTCTTGATCAGCCAGCCCCAACCACTTCCCTGAATGCCGAGCAGAGCGGCGTTGAAAGCTTCCTTGAACTTGTCCTCGTCACCCCAGGTCGCCTTGATCTGCTTGAGCAGCTCAGGAGCAGCGGAGCTCTTGGCCTCATCCGAGCTTGCAGGTGCGAGGTTCTGCCAGAAGAGGGAGTGATTGATGTGTCCGCCTGCGTTGAACTTGATTCCCTGTTGTATGGAGACCTGCGAGGTGATGTCCGAGGTAGAGACAGCTTCGGCTTGGGTCTTGAGAAGACCGTTCAAGTTCGTGATGTAGGTTTGATGGTGCTTGCTGTGATGCAGCTCCATGATCTGGGCGGAGATGTGCGGTTCCAATGCCTAGAACTGTGAGCATACCGTGCGCGGGGTAACAAAGTCATCTCAGGCTATACTAACATCGTAGGCATATGGTAGCGGAGGAAGCGTGTATTGGGGTGCAGACATGGCGCCGAATTCGAAGGCCTGTTGTTCTGAAGCAAAGACTGTGGATGTAGAGAGAAGAGGAAAGAGAACGGTTGAGAACGTCGATATGCCCCGCATCGTGCCTGCCCCTCACGCAATCGATACGTATAGAAGCCGGGTACGTTCGTCAGACTGCCAGGTCGTCACCAACAGGGTGCTCTGGATGTATGCTGCCGAATTGGGTCTAGTGCACTAGAAACTGCCTCAATTGAGCGCGATGCCACTCGAATGCTCCACTATGTCTGTACTGGAATCTAAACCCAGGTAGATGACGTATAGACAGACGTTGTATTAATTTCTGCAGCAATGCCTGCTGATCTGACAAAGAGGAGAACGTGCGATGGCCAGCTACAGGTAGCTGCTCACGTGTGAGTAGCTTCAATGGCGAGGCAGCAAACAGGAGGCGATGCCAATGCTCGCATGAATGACGGACTAAAGGTAGCACAGCTCTTGTTGCGCAACTTGACGGGGATACGATGTGACGAAGGCGCGGTGTTGAGTGGGAGATGAGGTGAGGGAACGGCAGTACGTGTTGTTCCGGTCGGACCTCGGGGATTCCCAAGTTGACGCCGTTGTGAAACACGATCTAAGCTCGGTTGAGCTTAGCTTGATGTGGTGATCATCACAAATCGATTGATACTGCGGACGAAGAACGCAACTCTAGTGCGATGGTTTTACCAACGAGGCTACACATGCCTCTAGTTGGCAAGCGATATCGCTACAGCAGCAGATGCCTCAACACATGCCTTTGTAGTCCCTCCGTCTTAGCTTTAACTGCGCATTCGCTCGCAGACCATGCCTCCTGTCTCCTCTTTCAGCGTCAACATCCCTGTCCTCAGCTAACAGCATCTGCCTCTTTATAGCTGCTTCACTTTCCGTCGTGAGAGTACCACACCTGCATCCATACCTCATGCGCGACATTCTCGCTCTCTTTCTCTTCTTCCACATTTTCCTGCCTTTTTCCCAGTCAAACTCGAAGCTTTTCGCCTCCATATCCTCTGCGACTAACTCTATTACTTCGTGCGGGTCGGTAGGGGCATGCATGTGGGTGAAGCGCATG